ATACTTAAACAAAAATTGACACATTAAACACAATGCAAGACTATATGCGCTAAATATGTCTTCTATCGGGACCCTAATATAGGTAGATCCTAACCAAGAATAATACCAGTTTTCATTAGCCCTGTCTGTTTAAGCCATCTATAAGTGGTGAAAGCCTATGTTCCGCGACTCTAACTAGGTTCTCCTGCAATGCAACGCACGCGTGTACCATGTGTTGCCGCTTTGCTAAGGCGCTGAGTTGTCTCGAATTTAAAAGGAGGATCATAAAGCAATAGCTTTTCGTCATTTGTAGATACTCATCCCTTATTAGCTGCACTGAATTTTCTCTTCTGTTTACAAGAGACTGCAATTAAACCTGAGTTCCACTGGAGAAACAAGATGAAAGATTCGACGGTGAGCATATTCAATGAATTTTCTGGGTTATGTTTAAATCATAGGATACAGCAGCTATTACTCGCAGGTACCCGCGTGTCACGCAACCATATTCCAGGTACTATAAATAAATACAAGCAAAAATTGAGCATTTTCAAGTTATAAGTTTTCGTTCTATTATCTACTACGGAATGCGCTCAACCGTCTATGATGGTAGCAATGGTACACTAGGTTTTACGTGATAGCTTGTTTTCTTTCCCTTCAGTCTATCGTAGTGCTTTTGTGTGGTACGACGATAGTTGTTTTCTTTATGGTGGAAGGGTCTCAATTATCCATCGGCGAATCGTGTCCCCCCATTACACTGAACCGCTTCCTGGCACGGCAAGCGATGCTGAACCAGCGAGCGAATGCAAACACCCCCCTAGTTGTCCTTTCTTGAAAGGGCGTGTCTTTGGCCTGCGATCTTAAAGCTCGTTGCCCATTGTGAAACATGCCGTTGAACCCTAGTTGCACTGCCTGCTTAGATTCCTGTATGTTCAGACTATTCTTAACATTGTGGACTACCCAGCCAACATGATATTGTTACACTTTATAAAAGGAGGAATTATAAATATGTTTATAAGCAGCAGATATTAATACATCATTGGTGTACACTTAATGAATGGTCCTGATAAACTTCTTTATCCATGACTTTTTATTTCAAAACCAAACTTTTGTTGCCATATCTAGATACATTATTACGACCATTTAGAACTGGTATACTATCTCTGGGTAAATTGTAATAATAACAATAATATAATCTAAACATTCAACACCAGAATACAAAATGAGAACTTGTAATACAAAAATTTCAAGTAACTCGAGTGCATGTTAAATTTAGCTTGGGGTTCTTCCAACCAGTCTGTAGTAATGTATTCGTACTTACGCTTCTACCAACGGGCAAAAATAGGCTATCTAGAGATACAATCTGTATACCTGGAACGCGAAGATAGCTTAAATATCTTGTTAATAATAGCTTATGACAATCCTTATTTCAACTGATATACTAATGAGAGACTAAAAGCGTTTTCAGGCAAGAACTAGGATTTTTCTAAGTTAAATAAATTTGCTAAATTCTACGTCCGGTACGCCGTTGAGCGTTGCTTCAAACGGCCTCCATAATGAAACGAAGTGAGTCTACGCCTAGCTTTAAACTACTCCGTGTTCCTGAGTTTTGAAGGATAACACGTTACCAATGCAGCATTGCAAGGACAGATCTTCCAAGTCTAGAAAATGAGCTGTATTATCTAATCTTTCCATATTGAAGAATCCATACGTCAAACATGGCTTGTATGGCTTTACATATCCCATTTACATTGCATTTAAAGCAGAGAAGACCATTACAGACCGCAAAGTAGGCAACAAATGCTAATCCCTATTAGTTGATAACACAACCGAAACAATATTGCTTAATTCAACTTCTGGCATTGTGGTACGAAGGTCGTTCAATAATTCGTTGTGACATCGTGTCCCAAAAACATTTGAAGCTTTGTATCCACTGCCATCGGCAAGCAATGCTTCAAAGTACAATTGTTCTTAATCTGAACTCACGACAAGCAAATAATGAACGTATCCGCATTCGTTGCTAGTTTTTTTAAACTATCTTCCTCTATTTACATGAGTGATGTAGCATGTGTCGTTGGTGGGACTTAAACCAGCGACCCTTGTCTCCTTTAACCAGAGGCTGTAACCACCCAAACCAATAACCCGACAACAGTTAGATTTTTAAAGCTACCTATCCTTCTCTGAAGCTATATGTCTTCTTAGATACTACGTGCTCCCTATTTCTAAAAATCATGAACGGATATATAGTGTAAAACATTTTGCTCCCTAATTCAATTAAACTGGCAACTATTTTTTTAAACATCTGGTGTTCTGTTTGCAACGGCTCCATCTACTTGACAAGAAGAAGCATGTTTAGAGCCTGGCACCGTTATCCGATAAGCAGTTTGGGTCAAACTACAGCAGGATAAATTAAAATAGTAAACACCCAATGATGGACTAGCCCGCCAATGCCTTGCAGCGAGTCAGCCAAAAAGCCCTCAGACCATAAAAAGTGATAAGCCACAAAAAGATGATGCCAGTGGAGTCTTTCACATCTTAAGATAACACCAGCTCAAGTGCTCTCAAAGATTCGATCATCTACAGTCTAGATATCAGATTCCCAGAGAAACACATTAATATCATCAAAATTCACTTAAAGATTGTGTAAATTTGGTTGATATTGGATACACCTAGAGTTATAAAATCAAAAAAAAAAACACGAGGAGAATTTTGTCAAATAATTAGTTTGAATTGTAATAGAGTTGACGGGGAACTAAAGGGGCTTACAGGCACCGTAAAATATCTTATTGAAAGCTCTCACCTAAATTAAGAGTACTGCACTCGTGTTAGCGTAGTGTCTCTATAACTAAAACTCTAGGTAATTTCCTTTTTTTTACTGCTTGAGCTAAAGATGTTTGCATCACACAGTCTTGTGTGCACAGTCTCGACTAAATCGGATCATTTACCTAGAAAATCCGAACCGGATTCCTCCGAGATCTTTGCTGACGTATAGAGATTCAGGAGAATGCGCCAAATATTGTAAATAATTATCCCGTAACTTGGTTCATTAGTATACGATACCATGGTAAGGTTTCTGCGGTCTTCCAGCAAAAAAATTGTGACAAGTGATTTTTGCGTCACCATATTGAAACCGGGTGAGCAGGTTAAGGGAGTTCTGCAGAAACTGAAACAGATTATACTTTGATGACACAAAACCCGGGCTGTAGGGTGGATATGTCTAAATTTCCCATCTTAGCTTTTTTCCATTTTTTCCCGCTCCATTAATTTTTCCCAATGGCATTTCCCGATTTTTACCAAGTAGCTAAAATCGTACGTGGACTGGCATTATCATGGCGGAAAAAGCTGCCGTCTTTGTTGACTAATCCTCGTCAATTCTCTTCAGTAGCCGACTGTCATCTTGTCCGTTGTTGATAATGGAGCGACCATCATTATCAATATATCCGAATCAATTGCTTAGCCGAGTGACGGCTGATCAAAGTGCGTGGTTCGTCTCGAATCCCACCAAACGCATCGTATCATCTTCGTTAGCGTCAGCGACTTTTTATCTTCTTGATCAACTGCTTCAGTAATGGCTCGATTTTTGGTGTATTTCTATAGATTTTCGCAGATGGAAACGCGATTGGGTAAATTCTGCTGTACCAATTCGTGTGGTACTTAAATAATAATTAGCTTTTTATATAGCCAAATTTCTGGTGTTTTGTGGTGGATGTTTAGATTTTTTGCGACATCATAGCTACCTGTGTGTTGGTCTTGAGTCGTTTCTTCCGGTAACGTACATCTTGACTATAGACCGAAGAAATGCGTTTATGATCCTGGGTAAGGTTTGTACCTTTCATATTGTAGAAGATTATAAAACACAGCGAATTTTTTTCAGAAGTTTCACGCATGTACAAAATCCTTTATCCTGGTTCTAAACACAGGCAGACTAACAGGTTCCAGCTCATCTATTACTGCAAATCTTAGCTTTCATATAACTTCAATGTCGATTCATATCGGCTGAAATATGTGACCGAAAAAGCTATCTAGCTAGAAAAATCCCCGGTACACTTTTAACAATCCTATATTATTTACTTTCTTCTAGCTGACCGTTTATAAATTACGGTACCGAATAAAACGGGTGTGCTCATATAATTACTGAGAATGTACTTGCTTAAGTTAATCTATTAGTTAATTATTTTATTATATTAATCTATTAATGCGCTTTATTAGAATATGTATATGCATACACTCGTCAACATATTATAGCACGAACAAGATTTCGACTATTTCATAGCAATATGAGTATGGCCCTCTACGTATTTTCTTTATTTAATTAAACATGCTGGGTAGCATATATCGCTACATATATCAGGCTTGTCGGTCATCTACACACGGCGGATCTAAATGGTTCTGTTCTTGGATATAAGACAAAGTTTTTGACAGTTCACGCGTAGACCCTTGCTACAAAATTGGAAAAAATGGCCGAATGGACTTTTATCTCTCTCAATTAACTTCATTTTTACGTTGCGGCACTCATACTTAACTAAAAACTTTGTCTAAATACTTAAACTTTGTTCCATTTTGTAAATGATTGAACTTAGGACTCTTTTCATCGGCATCCCTAGCGCTTCAGTCGCCTGCTCGAAAGATACTGATGATAATGTTGTTAGAGACATTTTCGATCATGTATCTAATATTTTACGTTTTGAATTCAGAGATATTCTGAAAGCATGCGAACATACATGAGAACAGCCTATCATTGTGTATGTATGTACTTACAAAAATACCAATTCCGCTATATGGATATTACGTTCGACGAATTAAGCCTTGCTATACTAATGACGATCATAAGTTCCATATCTAATACAGTGATGCGTGGCGTGTTTTGTAGTTATAGTGTTGTCATATTACACGTATGTGATGTGTCTGATTATCACATCTCTGCTAGTTTTTTTTTTTTTTTTTCACCAAAAATCCTAAAAATACAAACCATAAATAAAAATAAATACAAAACATAACTTTAACAAAAGGCGTTTATTCGGCACTATTTTTGTATTCCACTTACGTTCAGCGTGCGGCCCGCCGCACAAATGTATAGAATTGTACCACGTATCCCATATCAGCCCCCTTGCAGAGAGGCAGATGTTTACATGTCATCTGTAAAGGCAAATGAAACGTGTACTTGTTAAGGACCGGAAACAATATCGCACCAGCTTCAGTATTTCTTCATCTCTTCAATCTCTTCTTCAATCTATTATGCTACTCGTTTGGTAAATTCTCTTCATTCGATAGAACTTACACCGGTAAATCAGCCAAGAAACCATTCACTTCACTGTCATATGTGTAACCTAACTTTTTTAAATACCGAGTGGCGTTTTTGAAAAGGGTATAATTTGAAGTAATGCGAAGTCTTAGTCAATAGACATCTCCAGAGACCGCTTTTCGACGTCGGCTAAACGTGGAAGAAAATCAATATCATATACGCGAAGGTCACTGTTCCTGCACCATGCCCGAGGAAGCCGAGTATGTTGTTTGTGACGCATAGACGTGGACTTCTGTCAATGTAAACCCATCAATGTTTAGCTAGCTTTAAGTCTAAAGCACATTAAAAACAAGTAACCTGAATAGTAATTTCGTGAAGAGTGAAAAAAATTAGAATTTTGCTAGAAACAGGTTCCGTATACATTAGTTAAGATGCCTAACAAAAAGCTGCCAAAAAAGCTAAAGAACGAAATTCGGCTTATAAGCTACAACTATTTTTAAATTGTTGTATTTACATATAGCGTCGCAGTACTTAGTTGTGTCTTAACTTACATTGAACTGAATTGCAAAATTTCCCCGCACGAGTGAATTGGCATTCACCTATGGTGAGTTCTACCCACGAAGATTTGTATATGCCATAAGCCGTTTTCGTGCCGCAGCGGTTGTCTTCGCCATGGCCTTGTAGAAGCCGAAGTCACGTGAGAGGTCTTTGGTAAGCTTTGCTCGAGACGATCCGCGTTATACGGGGCGGGCTTATCCTGGAAAAACACGGGCGCATACCCGCCCGTCATAACCCAGTGGAGCCCATTCTGATGACTCTGACATGCGACTTAATTAGTGCGTATTCGCTTCTGTCATGAGCTACGACCAAACGACTATGAGACAACAAACCCCGCGAACATCGGCTCAATAGGCTCTAACGGAATAGATAAACGGCCACAGTGCCTTGAGATAACTAAGACTATCAGCATATTGTATGGCTATTTTTGTATACCCTAATATGGCGAAACATCTCGGAAACGTATACAAATCTTTGGGTTTGCTGAAATAATGCAATGCATTGAATAAATGCATGTAATGCTGCAAGATGACAAACCTTGTTGCATTATTTATACAACCGTAGTTGTTTTAGGCGAGCATTTATGTTATATATATATATATAATATATATATATATATATATATATATATATATATATATATATATATATAATTATTACTGATGCAAAATTTAATAAGCAAGTGTGCAAAAAGATGTGCATGGATATTCTTAATCTAAGATGAGATGCTACCTATTGGAATCCTGCTTTTTCCAAACAGGTGTTTTATCTCCATATTTCCTTTCTTTGAACAAGCATGTAGTATGCTACAGAAAAATTCCTAGGCATAATAAAGGTTTGGCGGCATACCTTGTGCCACTATGAACCTTACAGCTACAACTCGCACCCCCACCCATTTTGTCGTGGGGACTTGGAAAAAAGTTGCCATAAATTTTACGATTTGTCGAGTCGCAAAAGCAAACTTGCAGACGACTTCTGCTCGTTGATTTCTTCTACAAATCTCTTTTGCTACCTCCTTCTCCGGCGCTCAGCCCCTTTAAATTTTTCGGTCCTTCTCGTTTCGCCCACAAGACCATTAGATGCGAGTGCCTGCATTCGCGGCTGAATTGTTCCACGCGATTTCACGATGCTGAGTTTGGTCGGGCTGCTGGTGTAATAAGCTGAATTTTGAGACAGAGCCAAGCAGGGGTGCTTACTTGGCTCGACTGATCGATGGACTTCGAACAAGAGTTAGCAAGGAAACTCTTATGCAAGAAACTAACGAGGGATCCTCTTGTCTACTTCGGCTTACTGCTGATTTGTCCGTTTGCTTTGCTTTTTCTGTGGCCTTACTCAAGCGTAGCATATACCACAACACGCCACTGCTCATCGGACTGTCCACTGGACTATTCGAATAGCCGATAAGTTAACACTTGACCCGACTTGGATTTGCATCTGTGTTTTGGTTTCGATCTCTATAAAAGTATACGATCCCCATTACTTTAACGTTTAGCTAAATACATTTCTATGCACCACTCGTTATTGCTAAGTGACTCAAATAGACAACATCGTCGCTTACAGGATTGCGCGAGACTTTAAAATAGGATGGAACAGAAATCGCTGACGTTCTTCAAAAATAAATGTTCTCCATAAAAATTTTTGTTCAGGTTCTGAAAGCTATATATGTTGTCTTTTTTAGTTCAGCAAGTAGCCCGTCATTTCATTGCATAAAGAAATGGAACAGATTCTGACGGAACAGGTTTCGTTGGATGTAATTACGTACCCGCTGCATACAGTAAATTAAAAGAAAGCTGTTTAATATGTATTTTATGTGTTACAAGTCCAAACAAACACACTGATTGACATAAATAATACGACAAATGTGTTTAGCATATGGATTCTACGTGCATGTATATCAGAGGTCGCTACTCCGAATTGTTTCAATAGTACAAGCTGTTGCGGCCAAGACTGTGCGTGCCTTAGGCAGAAACTAGGTTTATACATATCTAGGACACCCTAAATAATAAACTCCGAATATAACCTTATTAAACAAAACAGACTGTGAAAAGTTCATTCGTTTTTTCAATGCAATTAAGTTTATGGCATTGGCTATAACTTCATTAGTTACGATATTAATTTGGTCTTTCTTTGCGCACTTATACAGCAAAACTTTGTTGGAAACTGTTTATACGTTTTTCAGAAAATATAAGATCTTGCGAAACGTAATATGAGATTAATAAAAAGGCCTTTGAATAATTAAATAACATCAAACCAACTAAAGAATCAATCAGTTTTTAGTATATTCTTTCCAGATCAACAATTTTCGGTTCAAGCAGCTGGCATCATTTTTCTGAGAACACCGACATCTCTGTTGCTGAAATTGTTGTATAATCTGCCCTGAACCATACATTACCCACATAGTTCTGTTGTCTTTGTCGCTGGGCTTCTGGTGAAGTATGGTTTGCTCCTTCGATCCCGCTTGTCAGTCCCGTTCCCACTGCACCAACTACTTGAAATTCTAGGGTCACCGGCCCTAATCCCACAGTTTTACGTACATAATAGTGCGATCCTGTCTTTGCTGATCTGTCGGTTAGATACATTACCCGAACCTATTAATATAATAATGCTTTTAAGTTTAGAGCAACTTTCCCACTTGATGCTAAGTTGTTCGCTTCGTAATTCCACCCATTGCTCTCTCCACAGCTACCAATGTTAAACAGACTGTGTACGGTTGTTATCAGGCAACCTTCTTGTGCGTTTCTTGAGTTCTTCCGGTTGGCACACATCAATGTGACAGTTAGCCCCAGGGACTTTTACTTGAAGTACCAATGCAGCGCGCTCGCGATACTTCACGGAAATGTCAGCTATTGATTATAATACAGATGTTGTACAGACAAACGATCATTTGCTTGAATTATAACTTATTCATTTAACAGAGGTGCTTTTATTTTGTCGGTAGTCAATTGTCACACTTTACCGATCGAGTTGATCGAACTTTGAAAAAATTAGCATCTATTTAATTTGGCGTATATTTTCGAAACACCGCGACGTACCCTATATTTAACTTTCCATATAAAATGTTTTTAGTTCTCTAATATCAAGCAGATAATCTTCTTCGTATAGCATTGGAAACAAAATTTGTCGATAGCAATTTTAACGGCGAGCAGATTTTCCCTGTTTGTAAAAGCTGCACCGAGGACTCCTGGTGAAAAAGACCACGATATTTGTAAACCTAGACTAGCTTTGGCCGAACAAGTAAATGCATATAATATAAGCATAGCTGAATTTATAGCATGCTCCGACGATCGTTTTGAAACAGACTGATGTTTATCCGTTTGAGAAAGATTTTTTTAAGGATCAAGGTGTTTTAGCAAATAGATTACCTGTTGGATGTTGAACATTAAAGTGAAATTTAGCTCTACTACTACTACTATTACTACAACAAACAATTTCCATAATTGCAAAACAATGTAAATATAATAAGAAATAATTCTTTGCCATTTGCTGGACATCTTCATTAGAGCTAAGCACCTTGTCATGAGGTGCTACAGCCTATTCTAGGCCTTTGCTAACAAAAAGTGTGTTTAGACAACGTTGATGAACTGTGCTATCATATGGTTGATTGAATGAAAGCTCAGTGATTCATATGAGCCTGCTACTTCAACTGATAGGTTCCTAGGCGGAATTCAAAGCCAATAGGAGTGAACCGTTTTAGGGCTGGGTTTTTTAAGCAGAGAGCTTTTAATAATGTAGAGATATTTATTAAGAAAGTTGTTATGAAAAAAAAAGATATAATCGTCATGTAACAGTTTAGTAAAATATACCCACCCCTGTCTCATTCTATAATTAACATAGTAGAATCGACTGTGTCTTGTAACACTAGAAATACCGACCAAAAATAATCAAATAGCAAAAGTCTCTGATTTTCCCACATGGAGACTCTGTAATGTAACACAATACAGTATTAAGTCCAGGTTGTTTGATACTTGAGTTAGCTAAATTAGCTGAATTCAGTGTGAGTTCTTCGTTGTTCTCTATAATAAGCAACGTTAAGCAAAAACAGCTAGGTGCTCTAACCTAAATCAGCTGTTTCTGATCCATTTCAGCAATTTCTCAAGTCGTTCGTCTCTTTTTGCCCCTCAATATACCATACAAATTCGACCCGCGAAGCTATGTATGTATACATATATATGTAACTTCGGCAAGGCATAGGGAGAAATTAGCTCCAAACAATTTTTTGAGCTTCTGATAGGTTTCTTACTTATTAAAAAAAAGCAAACGAATATCAACTGGGTCCTATTCTTGAAGACTAGATGGTTTAAACGGCCGATGTGATTCTTCTTAGTCTGAGGAAATGCACGTGCTAAAACCGGTAGATAAATAGCAGCTACCATTATATGAAAATAAGCATATTAATATATTAATCTATTCATTCATCTAAGGTATGTATGCAGGAAAATATAAACAACGTACAAAGTGATAGAGTACGAACGCGCTTGTTTAGCTGTTTGTCCCTTTTGTCTGCCGCCAGTTATTTCGTCTGCCATACTGTTTGTGTCCTGCGAAGCCTTTTGGTACTCCGAAATGTCATAACTGGCCAAGGAGCGTGGCTGGTGAAAAAGTCTGGGCCGGCTGCGGTTTGTTGCCGATGCATTCTCCGTCCGACTCCTACGAACCTTTTTCCTCTATTCTTCCTTTCTGTCTAGCTTTTCTGTCTTTTCGTTTTGCCTTAGTTGGTACGCGTCTTCGCCACTGAGGGCAGCCTTCGCTACTATTCGCCGTCTGCGCTATTTCAGTCGGTTGTCATGGCCAGCCAATACTCGAGGGCGTCAGGATCCAGAGGGAGAGCAAAGCGCACCGACGAATTGTGATACCCTCTGACACAAATGCCAAGACCACGAAGGAATAAAGGACAACGGTCTGTTCTGGTCATCGAACTGGAATAAGTGACAGCCCGCTTAAATGATGGTGAGCGTGTGCGTACTGGGTAGTGAGGCGATCGCGGCTGCGTCGCTGACAGGGTGGGTGGCTGACTGAGTAGACGTCGCCGCATTCCGCGTTTATCTTCGAGGCCATTTTTCTCGCAATTGATGCAAGCTATGTGATACGAGTGTGAATGGGTCGGCTATATGTGCCTGGGCTTACACGGGTGGAAACAAGGCGCCAGTAAATTGTTACGTAACACGGCTTACCCAACGCCGCAACTCAACCTGGACCGCCTTGGTCTGCAAGCTTACACGTCTTTGAGAGGAGATCTATATATGAGGTAGTTCTAATGTTTTCCATTGTCATGTCAGACCAGCTAAAGTCATTTGAGGAAAACAAAGAAAGAAAAGAGGTACATGAACTTGGTGTTCTGTCTCTTCAGCATTTCGCAAACCTCGCCGTTATCGGGGTTGTTGTCAGGGGTCGACCATGAGGGCTTGCGCTCTTGTGGCTTCCTCTTGCACTTTTTAGTCATTGTATTTATATTTCCTACCTATGATCTACAACCGGTGTATTATCTTGCTGTATCTTTTTTCACCTTCTATGCTAAAAAGTGAACACTCTGCTATTTTCGCATAGGAGGTACGTCAGGATGTGCTCTTTCACATACTTACAATTAAGATACGGACGTAACTTAATAAAATAGCTACGTTCTATATGCCTTCTATATGTGTCAGTGATTTGTTGGTCAAATTCTCGAAACACCAATAATCGCGACTAATGTTAAAAAATACGGGCCTATTCCGCGACAGAAAACATTTCCGCGTCCACTGTTCTAATGAATCTAAGGAGGGCATTGCTGCTGCGAATTTAGAAAACGTTAAGACAGCCGAATACCATTTGACGTTTTTCCCGGTGATAGATTTCTCTATTCCTTTTTCGTAGAAATAGTGTCAAAAAAAAAAGAGACACGAAACATCTTTTACCCGCCATTCGAAAATTCTGCCTCGTATCTTCCTGAATCAACTTTTCTTAAGGCTCTTTCATGCAGGGAAGATAGGAGAATTAGTTTATCAGAAAAAATGAACCGCGTAGTTTGAATGGTTCACTCACCCTAAGCAAGACGCCGCCTTTAACGCGTCACCTGTCGACGGCTGTTTGGATCATCATCGCCATCATTCTTCTGCCTTTAACTACGGATGACTTCAAGCGAAGGAAAACAAGAGGATAACCCCTCTGGGTCCTTTCATTTTACGCTTGCGCCTTATTACAGCTGCTGCCTGCGATGGACGTGTGCATTGAGGACGAAACATATTTTATGCAAATTCGTTTCAGAAGACTCACTCGAGCCACTCGTTATGTATATTGTAAAGGAGAAAAGGATGAAGTTCTATATCCCACATAACGCGTTTCCTCGTCAGCAGGCAAAAAGCTTTTGTGAATGGAAGTACTCCTCACTTTAATAGCCCAACTGTAGGGCACAGACATACATTCAAATAGGAGCAGACCAGTGTTGAAGTTCATAATTGTTATTAATGGCTAAGTCTAACGCGAAGTTGCTGTTGTGCTTGAAAACCACAATTTTCTAGAGCCCTACCCTCACGATATTCGCAGACAGACTTCTCGGCAGCTGCTGCTTTTTATGTTAGTCACCGA